TCCACTTCCCAACCCCTCCCCCCCCCGACCCTTCCTCTCCCTCCTCTCCTCCCCCTCCTCTCTCACACACACACACACACACACACACACACACAGCCCTCTAAAGAAACCAAACCAATTCCCCACTTTCAGAACTCCTCTCTGAAGTTTTCCTAAATCCCTATGTTTCAAACCAACACACAGTATTTATTGCCCATGGATCATCCCCATCAACATCACCCAGGGAAGTTCTCAAACATACAATTCCTAGGTCCCAACACAGATCTAATAAAAAAGTATTTCAGAATTAGAACCAGGAATTACAGTTTAACAAGCAACCCAGGTAACTGATCTCTAATGTTTTAGAAAACCCACTAGACATTTCCCAGCACAATGCCTCTGCCAAAGTAGTGAAGTTTTAAATATCAAATGTATATCTCTCTCAGACCCAAGAGAAGGGAAAGAACAAGTCCTATCTGCCTCTATAGCCCAGGGGCTAGCAAAGTTCCAGGAACAGAGTAAACTCCAAAGAAATTAGTAAATTATTTGGAGCCTCGGACAGGATCCAACCTCCAACTAATTATAACATTGTTTCCATGGGAACATGCAGTTGCCTTTAAAATGACGTTTCTAGGGAAGACTGCTGGAATAAGAAAAGCATATGGAGGCTTAAGGTCTTACACAGAGTGAGGGAAGAAAAGTATGTAATTACTCATTTGTCTGTTCTTCCTTGTCCCAATTTCTCCCCAACAGTCATAATGAAAGCACAGCACCAAAAGTGGTAAAGAAGGCACGGTTGGGTTACACAACTAAACTTCTCTACACATTATATGCACATGCTTACGTACATTCAAATATATACACATACATGAGACTAAAAGTTCATAATTTGATTCAAAATCATGACCACCCCTAAAATATCTTTCTTAAAATACAATTGCCATGCCTTTTAAAAGTATTTATTTGTTTAACTAATCTAACAGAAATTCTTGGAGAAACATATCAGGTATAATTTTCTTTCCCCAGAATTAGTCAGTAAAGAAACCAATGCCTGAAGCAAGTAAACAGGTGATATATATACCAGTGTCTAGAAAAAGGCCTTACTTCCAAATTAATTACCACACACAATAATTTGCTATTAACACATGGCAACTTCCCACCAAATGTACAAAAGTAGTAAAAATTGGAAACCCTGTGGATGTAACGGAAACGACAGGCCAGCCAAGAAACAAGCATCACTCAGAGGGTTGGAGCTCTCAGATGTATTACGCCGGCGGGCTCTGAGGGGCTTCTGCTCCGAAGCTCTGAACACCTGCAAGATGTGTGCATGAGGTTTTACAGGGTTAATTACAAACTTGGGGTACTTGGCCAATAGGCATGGAACAGCTTTAGCAGCATCATTATCAC